CGTTCATATAAATATGCATTAACATGTAATAATTTTACTTAAGCATATATAAAAATTAAGCATGCAATCATTGAATTAAAATTTCGTTAATTTAATATAGAAATACTTCTTAATATATTAAAAGTAAATACTAAATTTCTTACCGAAATCTTGGTGTTTCCTACGTCTTTTTCTTCTTCTTTTCTTCTCCTCCTCTCTTTAGATCACTCTCTCTCTCTAAAACTCTTTAGTGGATAGAAGAATGAAGTAGAGATAATGAGGAACTGGTGAAGTGGGGATCATTATTTATAAAAAATGGGGACCGTTACATTTTGCACAAAGTGGCAAAATCTGGTGAAGAGAGAGAAAGTCAAAGTGAAGTAATGCAATGTGACGACTAATGGATGAACGACGATGATGTGGTGGTAGCACGAAAACTGGAAGCGCAACACCCAAGCCGGCGACATTCGCCGCCTGAAGGCAGTGCATTGGCAAGGGGCCAACACACACTGCTCGAGGCAGTGCATGCTGCCCCAGCCTTCCGTTCGCAGGCCTACCACGTGATTTTCCGTTGTTTCTCTTCCGGTTTTCTCCTAAAATCTTTTTAAATAAATTCAAAAATAAATTATCAAAAATTAATAACTGAAAATAATTTTAATAATAATTTAAACTAAATAAATACGAAACTAAAATATTAAATTCATGCAAAAATTTAAAATACGAAATTAAAAGAGTTTAAATGACTTTAAGTCTTGAATAAATCGGGGTTCACATTACAAATTAAGTAGAAAATTTTTCGAAGTGTTATAGGTTCTCTCTTTTTTGTTAATAGTTTTAACCTCTCCCATAAAAATAAATTATGGGCGTGGACAGTCTCAAAGTGATATGACCTCAGGAAGGCTTAAACAAAGATCGAAGGGAGGATCTCGCAAGAAGTAGGAATCCAATGGTAATTAAAATTCTCGTGGGATTATTATCTATGAGTAGGCAACAATACGGGCAAGGTGTAGCCTGCGCACAACATTCCATGCCACACACACTTGCGCAGCATGGATGCTGTGCGCGTGTTTAGACGCTTCCCAGGAAGTGGCTAGGCTTGCGGGAGAGGGATTTTTCGAGTGGGATAGAGGAAGTTGACCCCTACAAGGATTCCTGCGAATCCAAAGCTAAAAAGGAAACAAATTTTAATGCTTCCAAGTTTCCTAAATTGGTTCTGGCCAAGGTAGCCACTCAGGGAAAGTCTAGGCAAAATTCAAGGGATCTTGGCTTTAATTTCAAGAAGTCGGCCCAAAGTCCAAGAAAAAGGCCCAACCCGAGAGCCCCATGGAGGTCTAAGTGCGGCGCCGCCTTTGATGGCCCAAAAGAAGACTAAAGCCGGTCTGAGCATGCGGCCATCACATGTGCATGTGAGTGCCCTTGCTCACATGTGCGGGCAAGGGGGCATAGAAAAAAGGGACCACGCACATGCAGGAACCTTCCACCCGTGAGGAAGAGTCATTACGCCATTCTCCTCTTTTGGATCAGATTCTAAGAGTCCTAAAATTTGATGCAGCGGCTTGAAGAAGATAAAGAAGAAGAGTTCAAAATTTAAAAGAAAAAGGAACCTCACGCGTGAAGGAGTTCGTGGGAAAGCAAACCCGCAGCTTGAGGACTCTCACCCACACAAGAAGTCTTATCAGAGAGGAGTTTTTCCTCTTGATTTTTTTCACAGTTTTCATGTTTTTCTTCTATTTTAGGTGTGTTCATCATCAAAAGGAGTTCTACTTGAATAAAAACTCAAGGAAAAGACGAGAACAAGGACCACATGCCAAGAGAGGCTCAACCAAAGGGAAAGTCTTCCTAACTGAAAGTCCACTTCAAGTGTTCTTCATCGAAATCAAACTCTACAAATTAATTAATTAAATACAAGGAAGATCAAGCTGATATAAGATGAAGCACTTCGAGTCTATTAGGATGCAAGGATCGGCAATGAGAGGAGAAGATTATCCTAGCTAGATTTATCTATTTTTAATTATTATTTTAAGCTTTAGATTATGATCGGCTAGAGTTTGGATAGATCTTTAGTCTTTTAATTCGAGTTAAATTAGTCAAGTGAAAGCTTGTATAAAGCCCTCACTCATAGATCGTAAATTACAACTTTTAGAAATCAGAATTATTTAGTTGAATTTTTCTCTTAGTTTTTGCTAATTGAATTATGAGTGTTCATTCAAGAGAGGTTCTTCGACCGTTTTGTTGAGCCAAGAAATTGAATTGACTTATTGAATAAGTCGTTGCATCTCTTCTATTTTTATTTTTATTTTTCAGTTACCTTATCTTATAATTTTCATAGAATTTTTGGGTTAAATAGGAATGATTTATTTAAGGATTTAAGATTTTCTGCACGCTAATGTTATGTGCGAGTTTTGGATTACATTGTTGATATCGGGTTCCGCATCACAAAGGTTGTAAATTAAGAAAACAAGTCAATGTAGAATAAAGAGAACTTGATTACAAACTTAGAGAACTTCTAATAAGAACGAAATTTGGAGATTTTGGATCTCAATAATAAAAAAACTATCTCAATATATGAATAATAATTACGAATGGTCTAATTGGGAATTAAACTTGGTACCATATTTATAGGTACTAAATATATGAAAAATAGGAAATTTAGAAAACTTAATAAATAGGAAAATAAGTTAAACAGAAATAATTAAAGAGATAGGAATTCTAGGAACTAGAAGAAACTCTTCTTATTTTGTTTATCGTAAAAACTTCACGTAGCTTAAAAAAAGAAATTAGATATTCGTATTCCTTTTAGGTAACTTCAAAAAATGTTTACGTTCCATTGTTGATTCTGCTTCATATGTGCTATTATTGAAATATATCTATTTTAGGAGCTTATGATCTTGTATTGTTCTCTCTCACTTGGTGAGAACTCAGTCTTGAGTTTTGAAATGTCAAAGTATAAAAAATATGAAAGTCGGAACTTATCTTCTTAACAAGTGAAGCTTGCATAACTTCAAATTGTAATGAGAAAATATAAAAGCTTAAATCAAGGATTTTGGAGATATGGTGAATTGATTAGGAATGAAAAATCGAAAGAAGAACCACCAAACTTTCCTTGCCATTAGGAGCCAAAGAAATTTTTGGAATAGTATCTTAAGTGGAGCCTCTTTATTCAGAATGTCATAATTTTCAATCTCAACAATATCATTGCTTACAATTTAATCAAATTTAAGGTTATATTTGTAATGTTAAAATGAGTAAATTAGGCAACATGATAAATCGAATTTAGGCTCTAGTACTAATTGATGTAGAACAAAATGAGTTTGAATACAAACTTAAAGAACTCTTTTTTTGAAATAAAAATGGTATAGTATTGATATCAACAATAGAACAGAAACTTAAAGAACTTTTATTAAGAACAAGACTTAGATATCTCGAATATCAATAATCAAAACAATATCTCGATAATTGGATAATAATCATGTGTAGACTACTTAAAAATTAAGTTAGGTACCTTATTTATAAACATTAAATACATTGAAAAGTAGGAAATCTAGAAAATCTAATAAATAGTGAAATAAGTTAAATAGAAAGAATTGGGGAATAGTAAATCTGGGAAGTAGAAAAATGAATCCTCCTATTTTCCTTTATTATAAAACTTTCCAAAACTTCAAGGAGATTAGATCTTTCTATTTTTTTTAGTGAATTTCCCAACGTGCTTATGTTTTTTTATTGATTCTGTCTCATATTTTCTATTATTGAAATATATGCATTTTAGGAGATTTGTGTTTTGCATCAGAAATTGTTTAAACTTATACCATTTACTGTTTTAATTTGTTTGGGAAGAAAGAGCTAGAAGAGATTTTTAGGGTAGAGTTGCTTTGAATGTTTTGTAGAGAGGTCATTATCTCCTTGTTGAAGAGGATCTTTGGAACTTTTTTGGTATTTTGCCTTTAAATAACTAGCAATCAAAAAGGAAAATTAATTGTTTAAACTTTAATGATATACTTTTGAACTAACTCTTCTATTTTATTATATTTCTAGCTTTCGAGATAGGAGATACGAGTACAAAGGCCTTAATAAGGTTTGGAAGGGAAAGTTGTCAGAGGCCAAAGCAAGTGGGAATTCTATCAAGATCCAGGAAGCACAAGTATGTTAAATTGTTAAGTATTTAATATTTTCATTCTATGATGATTCTAGTTTTCTAATTTTGTCCTTGCTTATTGATGTTTGTAGGACATGGTTGTGCTTTACGACTCCTTACAGCTTGCTCACAAGTGTATCCTTAACTCCTTCTATGGATATGTCATGCGCAAGTGAGTTAGTCTCAGTCATGTTTAAAAGGCTATTGATCCAATTTACATTAGTTTGTGTGAGATTTATGTTCTTGTCAGAATGTTACTTTTGTGTGTGTTTGTTTTCTAGGGGTGCTAGATGGTACTCAATGGAAATGGCTGGTGTCGTCACATACACGGGAGCAAAAATTATTCAGAATGCTCGATTGCTTGTTGAAAAGATTGGAAAACCACTTGAATTAGACACAGATGGTATTTGGTGTGCACTTCCTGGATCTTTTCCAGAGAACTTTACTTTTAAAACAAAGTAAGCATTTCACTTTCATAATTTATGTTAGAGCTGGGTGCTAAAATTTTGTCTTTTAATTTTCTTTAAGTTTTTCTTCACATTATATTTATAAAGAACCAAAACCATCGGTATAATTAGAATTTTTAATTTTTAATTTATTCGACGGGATTGTGGCACATTTTGCATGCTTTTCTTAAATTGTTGACAAATGGTGGCAATATATGTATCAGAGACATGAAGAAGAAGCTGACAATCTCTTATCCATGTGTTATGCTTAATGTTGATGTGGCGAGAAATAATACAAACGACCAATACCAGGTCAGCTTGGGATCCGGTTTTATATAATTGCTGAGGTTTTCATTTCAGATTTCCATGTGCTTTTTTCTCATGGCGTCCAATCGTAATTTTCAATAGACACTCATTGATCCTATCACGAAAACGTATTCAACTCATAGTGAATGCTCAATTGAATTTGAAGTGGATGGACCATACAAGGTAATAATGGACCGGAACTTTTAAATTTCAACTGTCTTTTCAGATATTAATATTGATTATTTGATTGTTCTTTCCTGCAGGCAATGATTCTTCCTGCTTCTAAGGAAGAGGGAATTTTGATTAAGAAGCGATATGCTGTTTTCAATGATGAGGGAACATTGGCAGAACTTAAAGGTTTTGAGATCAAGCGTAGAGGTGAGCTGAAACTCATCAAAGTCTTCCAGGTATCCCTCTCACTTTTTTTATACTTTGTGATTTGAATGTCTAGGAATCCAACTAGTATTTTTATCTCGAATTGAGTTTGAACCATGTTGTTGAATTTTCTGGATATATGGCCAACTTTCGATTTTTCTTTCATGAAAAATAATAATCTAGTACTAGTAATATTGTCGATTCTAGATGTATTTAAAAAAGAAAATATTGTTGATTCTAGATGGCCATCAGACATCGCTATGTATTATAACAAATGGTTTAGAGACTTTGTATGAGAATGTTGGATATATAATACGAGTATGTTTTGACAATTGACATACTTAACAATGAAAATTTTTTAAATTTTTGTTTCTGATTAAAGAAAAAAACAATTTTTGAAGATATACAAAGTTTGAGTATTCTAGTTGATAATGTTATGATATAGTTGTACTAAGATTATGTAAATAATTTAGAGTGTTTTGAGACTCAACATGTATTGCATTATAGGAATGTCTCCTAAAAGATCAGGATTGAAGAGAGTCTGAAGTACACCTTTCCATTGCCAATCGTCCTCATCGAATCCAAATCTTGAAATTCATATAAGTTTGAGGAAAATTTAGTAATACAATTATGATCTTGGGTAAGATTGCTTACTGATGACAAGTTGCAATCCAAATTAAGTACATGAAGTATTCCTTTTACGGTTAACCTTTTTGAGATGGGGATATAATCTATTCCGATCACTCTTGAGTGAGATCTATCAGTTATTTTTACAGTGAGGTTCTCTTTGCATCATGTGGTCTGATGCTCGTGAGTTGATGATTCAAGTATCTTGACTTCTTGAAATATCATTACGAGCACTAAAAAAGTTATCTTTGTTGGTTATTGTCCCAAATTTTATGTTTTTATTGATGGTGTTTTGATGTAGGAACAAATTTTTGAAGGGCTTTTATTTGCTATTTATTGAATGGGTATGATTTTTTAGTGGAGACACCTTCATCAATAGATGCATGATTTTCTCTACTTTCTTTTTCTGTGGTGATTTTGTGGTCTTCAAATCGATTGTTTTTTCATGAATTTTTCAGCAATTATTTTGAGTATGATTTGGTTTTTTACAATAATCACACTAAGGCTTTACTTTTCTTTGCCGGTTGTCTGAGTAGGGATGAGGCTTTGGGCAGTTAAGGCAGTGTTTTGCCTAGTAGTAGGAATTGTGAATATCTTCCAACCTTACCTTTTTTTTGCTTTCTTCTCTTCTTCGGAAAATACCTCACGGATATCCTACAATGTTTCATTCCGAGTATTCTTTCCCGAACTTGATCAAGATTTTTATTTAATCTCATGAGAAATCTTTCCAAAATTTCTGTGTACCGTTTAGCATCATCTGGATAGTTCCACGCAAGTTTCTCAAACACATCGAGCAACGGCCAGTAACGAGTAAGCATACGGTAACATTGAGTTATAAATAAATCTCTTTGTCATAGGTTGTAGAGATTAAATTCAACAGTAAAAATTTCTGATTCGTGGCTGCTTACCAAATATCGTGTGCCATTACATGCGACAACAAATTCTCACCAATTTGTCATGTAGTTAATTGGTCAAGACATAACCAGATTATTATCGGCCTTCCAAGTTCAGAATTTTAGGTCTTCAGTGGTTGATTGAGTGACTTCTTTGCTAAAGTATTCTTCTCTCACTTTTCTGCAGATATAAATCTTGGCCGATTGAGCCTATTGAATGTAGTTTCTTCTGTTTAGCTTGTGGCTGGTGATCGGGATTTGAGTGACTTCCTATTTTGTTGGTTTGGTAGAAATAGTTCTATTAGAACGAGATATCACTTTAAAAAGGTCATTGGTTCTTACTGTGGTCATCTCGTATTTGGTCATTGACAAGAGATAAAAGTTTTTTTCTCTCGTTTTTGTTAGGTTCAAAGATTCTGCCCTGATACTATGAATTTTTTTTTTGAAATAAAAATGTAGAAAAGTATTATTCACAATAGTACCAAGGGGATACGACTCGTATACAAATTATTTACAAGTCAATAAGGTGATCAATAACATTTCCAAAATCTTCCATCCTATTAATGTCATGACCTAAAAGCGTAGACCCAAAAACATGGATCTATCTATCTCTAATATTACCCATCTCTCTCTCAATACTCTCAAAAGTTCTAACATTTCTCTCTTTTCACGCAACCCAAAAGAGAGAAAGAGAAATCATTAGTAAATAGCATTTGTGTTCACATAAGCCCGCTCAAGCACACAACTCATCCTTAATCGGCCCGACATTCCCAATCAATTCCCAAAAGCCGATACACCATGGTCCGAATATTGAAAACTATAGGACACCGAAGAAAGATGTGATTGCAAGATTCCTCCTGCTTTTTACATAAATAATATCTATTAACCACAGTAATACCCTCCTCTTTAGCTTATCAATTGTCAAAATGCAATTCTTACTTACTTCCCAAACGAAGAAAGCAACTCTAGGTGGGGCCTTTTCCATATATGTTTTGCTGGGAACAGAACATCCTCATTGCCATCCCCACTAATTTGGTGATTGTAGAAATTCTTGACCGAAAAATTTCCGTTTTTTCTCATTTTCCATAACAGTTAATCATTACAATTTTCAAGTGGGATATGTGAGAGAATTAGCAGCAAATACCATGAATTTTGTTAATAAATTTTCTGTTTATTAAATTTTTGTGATACTTAATTTACATATGCATCTATATACATAAAAAAAGATTAGAGAGAGTTTTTAATGGGAAACTAAGTAGAAAGATCTCCTTATAAAGAAAAATTATTATTAACTTCCATACCTAGGAGATCTTGGCAGGATATACTATCAAAATTATTGAAGTTTTAATGTATAAGGATTTATCCTAATTGTTACATCCTTAGATAATGGTGGTAGTTATTTGGTAAACTAGCTTATAGATTTCAGATTGAAATTTTCGATAAAGAGAACACTTTTTTTTTTTAATTTCTTTTGCAGGCTGAACTTTTTGACAAATTCCCTTCATGGGTCAACTTAGAGGAATGCTACTCTGCTGTTGCTGATGTGCAAACCGCTGGCTGGATCTCTTGATGTATGAGAAAAAAATTGGTGCACTGTTTTCTAGCATCAAAATCTCTTCTCTGATGCGTACTTCTAGTGTTCTCATTTGTCTTGAACTTGATGTGTTAGTTGTTTTTGATTGACTGTACTGCAATGTGCATGATAAGTTTGAGAAACGATACAAAAGAAATTGCTAATAATTTTCTTGCCACTTTCTCATTTTTCCATCAGAATCAAGGAAAGGACATTGCAGATAGTGAGTTGCTAGACTACATATCAGAATCCAGCACAATGAGCAAGTCCTTGGCGGAGTATGGTGAACAGAAGTCATGTGCAGTTACAACTGCCAAACGCCTTGCTGATTTTCTAGGTGATACAATGGTCAAAGATAAAGGATTGCGTTGTCAATATATAGTTGCATGTGAACCAAAGGTATTCCTTTTTCTGTATAGATTGGAATGCATCATTTATCTGTTTACTTCTCTAGTTATTCCCAAAGAAGGCTTAAATGAAAAGTTCCTACTTAAATTTGTAGAAGTTTCTTAAATGCATCATTTAGCTGTGAACTAAAGGATTGTATTCTCTACTTAAATTTGTGGAAGTTTCTAGTGACATCTATATCTCACTTTAATAGTGTAATTATAAGCTCCTTTTAGAGCATATTTTCATAAGCAAAAGACTTTTATTTATCAAATTTCATTGTTGTAATTTTATATGATCAGGGAACACCTGTTAGTGAGCGTGCAGTTCCTGTTGCAATTTTTGAAACAGATTCAGGTATGTTCTTGTTATTATTTACTGAAAACAGAATTAGAATCTATAATTTTTCTGTTACTACAGAATTGTACAACTCTCTCCCATCTTATCGTACAGGAGTTTACCAAAAGACGAAACAAATCAAGTAATTGACTGCACCTAATTAATTACAAAATATGCATCTAAGTAATTAATGAATCAATTAATGATTTTTTGTTATTAAATGTCAATCACAATCCCGTAGCATCTGGGATTCCTATAATGATTTTCTTTCATTAAAATGTCAATTATATTCCCCTTGACATCTGAGATTTTCACACTCCCCATCAAGTTAGATTCTAGATATCAGTCATATCCAATTTGTGAAAAAAATTGTCAAAACTTTGTTGAGGAAGACCTTTGGTGAGGATGTCTGCACTTTGCTCTTATGTAGACACATATCTCATCCAGATAATACATTCTTCTGTCTTTTCTGTATAAAATGTCAATCCATTTCCACATGTTTGGTCATATCATGTTCTACAGGATTGAGTGAGATATTGAGAGCGACTTTGTTGCCATAGTAGAGTTTATTGGTAACTTGGCTTCTATTTACAACTCCTTCAGAAGTTTTTTTAA